CGTGATGGAACAGTTCACAACGTCTTGAATCGCGGGTCAGCCCCAGGCAGAGGATCTGGCTGTTGTGAAGTGCTGGGGTCTGTCAGGCTCACCAAGGTCACAGGCTTCTGGTCACAGTGACCCACAAGAGTAAGAACCTGGTAAAACAACCCACCCCGAGGATTCACTGCACCAGCGTTCGATAAGGGAAGGATTAATCAGCTCAAACGGCGCCAAAAAAGCTGCAAATACCGAAATAAAAATGAAACGCAATGTTTTACAGCACAGCCCTTTGGTGACATCTCTGGTTACTTCAGCACAAGTTTCAATTCTACCACCACACACGAGGCCGTTTTCCCTTTTGTTCTGTACCCTGAACACTCCAGGTGTCTGCGAGCCCCAACGAGAGGCATCGCTTCACCGCAGCCCCTTCTCCTCGCGCTTCAACCACAACCGAGAGAGGTCTGGAGGCTGCTCAGCCTCGATGGCAGCATTTAGTTATAGAGGGGCCACATGCCTTCTTAGATGCCAGCCAAAGAGTCTATCAAGCCCTCACCAGTAAAACTCCACTGCTAGTGAGACTTCAGGTATCAAAAATCACGTTGGATACTCAAAGACCCTTGAAGCTCAAAGCATCCCCAAGCTGTGCTTCTCAGAGTTTTACTTGTGACTTAGCCCAGAAGGCCAACCATACCCTGGGCTGCACCCAGAGGAGCATGGCCAGCAGATCAAGAGGGGATTGTCCCCCTTTACTCTGCTCTTGTGAGACCTCACCTCAAATCCTGTGTCCAGCTCTGGTGTCCCCACTGCAAAAGGGACACGGAGCTGTTGGAACAAGCTCAGAGGAGGCCACAAAGCTGACCCAGGGGCTGGAGCAGCTCTGCTGCGAGGACAGGCTGAGGGAGCTGGGGGTGTTCAGCTGGAGAAGATAAGACTCCGGGGGCACCTTATCCCTGCTGCAGCGCCTGAAGGGACCTACAGGGAGGCTGGGGAGGGACTTTTAATGAGTGTCCAGTGACAGGACAAGGGAAATGGGTTTAAGTTGAAGGAGAAGGGGTTTAGATTGGATCTTAGGGAGAAATTCTTCAGTGCGAGGGTGGCCAGACTGGAATAAATTGTCCAGTGTGTGGCTGCTCCCTTCCCGCTGAT